TGACCTCAATCCTCTAGAAAATGTGTGGGCAGAAATGAAAAAGCGTGTGCGAGCAAGGAGGCCTACAAACCTGACTCAGTTACACCAACTCTGTCAGGAGGAATGGGCCAAAATTCAAACAACTTATTGTGGGAAGGCTACCCAAAACGTTTGACCCAAGTTAAACAATTTAAAGGCAATGCTACCTACTGGGAATGTGATGAAAGAAATAAAAGCTGAAATAAATCATTCTCTCTACTATTATTCTGACATTTCACATTCTAAAAATAAAGTGGTGATCCTAACTGACCTAAGACAGGGAATTTTTACTAGGATTAAATGTCAGGAATTGTGAAAACTGAGTTTAAATATATTTGTCTAATGTGTATGTAAACTTCCGACTTCAACTGTATATACAGTGAGGGAAAAAAGTATTTGATCCCCTGCTGATTTTGTACGTTTGCCCACTGACAAAGACATGATCAGTCTATAATTTAATGGTAGGTTTATTTGAACAGTGAGAGACAGAATAACAACAACAAAATCCAGAAAAACGCATGTCAAAAATGTTATAAATTGATTTGCATTTTAATGAGGGAAATAAGTATTTGACCCCTCTGCAAAACATGACTTAGTACTTGGTGGCAAAACCCTTGTTGGCAATCACAGAGGTCAGACGTTTCTTGTAGTTGGCCACCAGGTTTGCACACATCTCAGGAGGGATTTTGTCCCATTCCTCTTTGCAGATCTTCTCCAAGTCATTAAGGTTTCGAGGCTGACGTTTGGCAACTCGAACCTTCAGCTACCTCCACAGATTTTCTATGGGATTAAGGTCTGGAGACTGGCTAGGCCACTCCAGGACCTTAATGTGCTTCTTCTTGAGCCACTCCTTTGTTGCCTTGGCCGTGTGTTTTGGGTCATTGTCATGCTGGAATACCCATCCACAACCCATTTTCAATGCCCTGGCTGAGGGAAGGAGGTTCTCACCCAAGATTTGACGGTACATGGCCCCGTCCATCGTCCCTTTGATGCGGTGAAGTTGTCCTGTCCCCTTAGCAGAAAAACACCCACAAAGCATAATGTTTCCACCTCCATGTTTGACGGTGGGGATGGTGTTCTTGGGGTCATAGGCAGCATTCCTCCTCCTCCAAACACGGCGAGTTGAGTTGATGCCAAAGAGCTCGATTTTGGTCTCATCTGACCACAACACTTTCACCCAGTTCTCCCCTGAATCATTCAGATGTTCATTGGCAAACTTCAGACTGGCCTGTATATGTGCTTTCTTGAGCAGGGGGACCTTGCGGGCGCTGCAGGATTTCAGTCCTTCACGGCGTAACGTGTTACCAATTGTTTTCTTGGTGACTATGGCCCCAGCTGCCTTGAGATCATTGACAAGATCCTCCCGTGTAGTTCTGGGCTGATTCCTCACCGTTCTCATGATCATTGCAACTCCACGAGGTGAGATCTTGCATGGAGCCCCAGCCCGAGGGAGATTGACAGTTATTTTGTGTTTCTTCCATTTGCGAATAATCGCACCAAGTGTTGTCACCTTCTCACCAAGCTGCTTGGAGATGGTCTTGTAGCCCATTCCAGCCTTATGTAGGTCTACAATCTTGTCCCTGACATCCTTGGAGAGCTCTTTGGTCTTGGCCATGGTGGAGAGTTTGGAATCTGATTGATTGATTGCTTCTGTGGACAGGTGTCTTTTATACAGGTAACAAGCTGAGATTAGGAGCACTCCCTTTAAGAGTGTGCTCCTAATCTCAGCTCGTTACCTGTATAAAAGACACCTGAGAGCCAGAAATCTTTCTGATTGAGAGGGAGTCAAATACTTATTTCCCTCATTAAAATGCAAATCAATTTATAACATTTTTCACATGCGTTTTTCTGGATTTTTTTGTTGTTATTCTGTCTCTCACTGTTTAAATAAACCTACCATTAAAATTATAGACTGATCATTTCTTTGTCAGTGGGCAAACGTACAAAATCAGAAGGGGATCAAATACTTTTTTCCCTCACTGTATATATATACAGTATATATATTAAAAAATAATATATAGAGTACCAGTCAAAAGTTTGGACACACCTACTCATTCAAGGGTTTTTCTTTATTTTTACTATTTTCTATATTGTAGAATAATAGTGAAGACATCAAAATTATGAAATAACACATATGGAATCATGTAGTAACCAAAAAGTGTTAAACAAATCAAAATATATGTTATTTTTGAGATTCTTCAAGTAGCCACCCTTTGCCTTGATGACAGCTTTGCACACTCTTGGCATTCTCTCAACCAGCTTCATGAGGTAGTCACCTGGAATGCATTTCAATTAACAGGTGTGCCTTGTTAAAAGTTAATTTGTGGAATTTATTTCCTTCTTAATGAGTTTAAGCCAATCAGTTGTGTTGTGACAAGGTAGGGGTGGTATACAGAAGATAGCCCTATTTGGTAAAAGACAAAGTCCATATTATGGCAAGAACAGCTCAAATAAGCAAAGAGAAACAACAGACCATCATTACTTTAAGACATGAAGGTCAGTCAATCCTGAAAATTTCAAGAACTTTGAACGTTTCTTCAAGTGCAGTCCCAAAAACCATCAAGCGCTATCGTGAAACTGGCTCTCATGAGGACCGCCACAGGAAAAGAAGACCCAGAGTTACCTGTGCTGCAGAGGATAAGTTCATTAGAGTTACCAGCCTCAGAAATTGGCAATTAACTGCACCTCAGATTGCACCTCACAGAGTTCAAGTAACAGACACATCTCAACATCAACTGTTCAGAGGAGACTGCGTGAATCAGGCCTTCATGGTCGAATTGACGCAAAGAAACCACTACTAAAGGACACCAATAAGAAGTGACTTGCTTAGGCCAAGAAACACGAGCGATGGACATTAGACTGGTGGAAATCTGTCCTTTGGTCTGATGAGTCCAAATGTTGAGGTTTTTGGTTCCAACCGCCATGTCTTTGTGAGACGCAGAGTAGGTGAACGGATGATCTCCACATGTGTGGTTCCCATCGTTCCCATGGTATTTTTGGTCTGGGTTTCGTGAGTAATCACACATGTGGTCCTTGGAATGTCTCTTTGGCTACTGTTGTTCTCTTATTCAGAGCGTCTCACAGTCGGTGCTTTCAACTAAAGTAGGTAATAGGTAAAACAACCACAAATGTGTATTACAAGAGGGTATTTGAGATGCACAAACTCAAATGGCATTCCTTTGTTCCCTTTTTTCTGGATAAATGACAGAGATTGACCTCATGACCTGTGAAGAGTGTATTTTGCTGATTGAGGGTTGGAGTATAATCAGATGTGCTAGGGATTCATTCATCACCTAGGCAACATGGTTCTATGGCACTGGTTGGAGATAATCAACAAGTCACCATGCTGCCCTTGTGTATGGTAAACACACATTGGTTTTTCATGCTTGCACACACACGTTGGATATAGACACACCCTTGCACACACACACACACACACACACACACAACACACAAAATACTTGCCATAGTCTAGGTAGCCTACCCAGAAACATTTTCTGTAATCCAACACACAGGGAACATGTGAACCCACCCTCAGGAAGTAGGAAATGCGGGGTCCTTCCGACCATGAGCCCCGGTCGTCAATAGCTTCTATACCCACAAAGTTATAAACCCCTCTCATTTCTACAATTTCTCTTCTTAAAATTAGATTTTAAACCTAACACTAACCTTAACCCTAACCTTAACCACAATACAAACCTTTTGCCTAACCTATCCTTAAATGAAGACCAAAAAGCAATTTTTTGTGACTGTGGAATCTGACTTTGTGACTGTGGAATCTGACTTTGTGGCTGTGGAATCTGACTTTGTGGCTGTGGAATCGGACTTTGTGGCTGTGGAATCGGACTTTGTGGCTGTGGAATCGGACTTTGTGGGTGTAGAAGCTGGTGACGACCCTGACCCCCAACCAGGGCTGGGACATGATGTGCCCTTCTCACTGCCTGGCAGAATCTATTCAATGACAGAGGATATGTCCACATTCTCAATGGCAATGGCGTGTAGACTGAAAATGACTTACCAGAGCAGCTTAGATATAGCTATTATGGGTTTTCGCCCAATACTACTGTTTTTTTCTGCTTTTGTTCACAAACCTACTTTCCAGGTATAATGTCCCACTGGGCGAATACTGTTCGAATCAATGTTGTGTCCACGTCATTTTTACCCAACTTTTAACCCAAATCCAATGACATGGTGACATTCTTTGTTGATTTCACGTTGAATTCAGGTTGGCAACTCACGTTGCCAACTCAACCAAATGTAAATCAAAACTAGATGTTTAACTGACATCTGTGCCCAGTGGGGTGAGTTCCGAGACAATGCCAAGGTCTTTATATTACGACTAGGGATGGGCATGGTTAATCGAATATCCGGATATCCAAACGATATCTTCGATTACTTGAGTAAGTGTTCATTTTTAGAGAAAAATAAATGGTAGGCCTGTTTTGACAATGCTTTGTTATAAATTAAATGTAATTATCCTTGTGACATTGTTACCTACAAGGATATACCGTGACATTTGAAATACTTAATTTGATTAAACAAACTTTTGAATGTTGTGTGTTGAGCTACTTCTGCACATTTAGAGCTCTGGTCTGCCCTGACATCGGTATGCTATTTTCCCCACTTCAAATAGCAATTACATGCACGCACCAAACAGAGTTTCCACAAGAACTGACACAGATCAATGGAAAACCTTTTTGTAACAGAATCAGTTCTGTCATGGCAAAAATCAGACTACTCTTTCATTGTTCCTTTTAGCCAAAAACTATGGAGAAAAGCAACCTTCTGCTGTTTTAAAATAATTTGGAATATCCGGATATCTAAAAAAATTTAATGATATTATTTGAAAAGTGAAATAATGTCAAATGCCCTTCCCTAATTACGACCTTGGTCAATGCTAACCAAACCACTCTCTCAGCAGTAGCCCCGCCCGCTCATTCTCCGAGGAACTATACCACCTGTCGTCCCTGACAACCAGCCCCATGATGACCTCCATCGTCGTGACGAGCCCCTCCAGCGCCGGGGCCAGCCCGGAAACAACCAGGAAGTTCCCTCCTCCTCCCATGATGGACAGGGAGGAGGTAGGGCCAAAGAAGGTTGGGTTGGCCATATCCCTGGAAACAGACACAGGGAGGAACAACGACATGTGGGCTCGCCACACCCTTACCTCGCCGAAACACGGCGGCACTACCAGTCCAAGCCAGTTCCTGCCCGTTCCTGCAGTCGGGGCAACCACCACGCTGATGGTCGCCTGCCAGGGTCGCATGGGCAAGTCGGAGATTGAAGGTCGCGAGGGCGACAAACCAGCGGTGGCGAGACGTCCATCTTGGCTTGACGACGACCTCCAGCCAATGTGAGCCTGTCGTCCATCGACTAGGATTGAGTGACCGATACAACATTCTCAGTTGGCTAAGAGAGGAGCATCACACCTTAATGGCCACAACTTATTGGTTTCTCCCGGCCTACACGGATCAGATACAGGGAACTACATTACCCATGATCTTTCGGAAGACATTTAGAAATCCTGCTTCATATGCATGCGGCCGTGACCTTGAGCAGTGATGCACACCTCTGGATGGCATATGTGAAGATTGCATGACCTTTCACAAGTGGCAGAATTTGTTAATTTCAGTTGCTTTGACCCGAGCAGGCTAAGGGAAGAGTTTGAAGTCTGAATGAAGTGTGTTGCTTTTGGATGCATGGAAGCTAATACTTTCTTTTTAGTATTTGATTTGTTCATTTGGGTTTTTATGTTTTGGAGCATGTGAGCAAGATATGACAGTGACCTGTCATAGATGTGACCTTTGAATAACCTTGCATGATGACCTTTGACATTGACCTTTTCCAACGCACCCTGGTTGAAGCAACTCCCTCAAAAACGACACTGGTAGTAGTAGAAAATATGGCTTTTTGTTCTCTGTATGGCAGCTACGACAAATAAATGACAAATACATACAGCCCATTAAACAATATATCTGCTTTCCATTTCATAAGACCTCTCTTCACTGGGTCTCCTGCTTTCTTGTGGCCAGTCTTAATAGGACCACAAGCCACATTTTCACTAACACCCATCCCAACATCAGAAATCCAGCTTTAAAAGCTCTCTGTGACCCTATAACTTAATCCCAAACCCGGTTAACCCAAACCGCCAGTTTGGTCGCAAGAGTCGACGAACCCCAGCTTTGAAGATGGGTTATAAGCAGGCTAATAAAAGATGCATGCTTTTATTGATAGTTTTGTTTTAGACTGTGCCATGAGATCATTTCCATCTGCGCCACACAATATGCTGTAGAGGCCTATATTAGTGCAGTGAATTCAGTGGTTTTTCTCCCAAGTGCTCAGCTGGCTGTGTTTTTGGCTAGAGCTCCACCTTGTGTTCAAATGGACACAGTTTTTATCAATTTGGATCTGCAGATCTAGCCGGAATAACCATAAATAAATTACTGACTTTTAGATCATATTAAACCTACAGTATCTCATTAAGCATTCATGATTGTTTACTAAGAACTCATACTGTTGTCAATGGTAACCCATACAGTACATTAAGCCTACAGGTGTTTTCAACACGCCCCCTATATTCCAACACACTTTTGTACTATTCTCATGTCTGTATGTATTGCATTGTGTAGTTGTGGGTTCATATCTGTATATATTGCATTGTGTTGTAGTTGTGTGTTTGTTCATTAGTGTGTTTTTTTCTCCATGTCTCTGCTTTCGTAGATTCAGTCACAGAGCTGCTAGTGTGTCAGATGTCCCGGAGTAAGTGATTCTTTGTTACCCATCGGATGCACATCCCTGCCCTCCTAAACCACACTTGCTTAGTATGCTAAGATCTCTAGACCCCAACTTCTAGACATTTCTAGTAGATCTGTAAGGAGCTGATAGGTGTAAGCAATATGGTGGAAACTCTGGCCTTACTGGACTTTTAACCATATTACACCCATCCTTTCCATTTAGATATACGAGAAGTGGAGAGGGACTAGTGGTTGACTTCAAATGTGTTTTTAACCAGCTTCTGTTATCTGCATGTCTCACACTCACACAATCAAAAGCAAACGTTGGAACTCAAGACGCGCCTCAACAAGTAACTTTGTCTCTTCTAGCCTTCGAGGGTCTAATGTGGAATGGGATGGACCTAGATCACTCCCCTGTGTCTTGTGTAGAGCTTATAGTCTCGTAAACCCGACCCTAAGCAACAGCAGGGACTAGGGTCTGGTTTCAATGACAGACTCTTTTGGCAACTTCGATAAGGGTAAAACAAAAATCTGGGGTGGGTCCTGTTCAGACAGACAACTCTCCCAACAAATCATAAAGCAGACATGCCAGAACGTCGCGATTTGAAACCAAAGTTTGCAGGCAAAACCTTTGCAGGATTTAGTGAAGGTAGTTGATGCAAACTAGCCACTTGTGAAATGTACTCATTAAAAATAACCTTGTTGATCTCCATCTTGCTAGTTACTATTTTGTATTTTATTCAAACGAGTAAGGTAGTGACATAGGCAGTGACCTAGTTCCTCTATGCCAAACTGTTCTGTTACATACAGACATGTGAAGCCGGAACATTCAAAAATTGTGGGAGGCAACATGGGCATCTAGAGAGCACACCATATGATTAATGTACCATACACTCACACAATGACATGTACCATCACTGTAACGCCACTGTATGAGGATCTCACTGTGGTTCTCAAAACAAAACCTGGGTCAAATACTTGCAGGGTATGACTTTGATGCTCTGTGCTGTTCTGTTGTATAGATATGCTTCTGTATATACAGTGAGCTCCAAAGGTATTGGGGCAGTGACAGTTTTTGGTTGTTGTTTTGGCTCTGTACAGCACTTTGGATTTCAAATGATACAATGATTATGAGGTTAAAGTGCAGACAGTTTAGAAATTACAGCACTTTTTGTACATAGTACCCCCATTTTAGGGGACCAAAAGTATTGGGACAAATTTATTAAAGTAGTAAAAAGTGAAGTATTTGGTCCCATATTCATAGCACGCAATGACTCTACAAATTTGTTAGATGCATTTGCTGTTTGTTTTGGTCCCAATACCCAAAACGGTTCACCCGATATGGATTAAAAAAATACCCTCAAATTAAAGATTCACTATGCAGAAATCGCTCCGCCATTTCCTGGTTGCTAAAATTCTAATAGTTTGCCAAATTGTAGTTTATGTGACAGAACAAGCAAGTATAGTGTAGAGAATCATTGTACCATCTAAACCACTGTGAAATACAGCATATTTTCCATAACCAAAAATATTGTATTTTCAGCTGTTTGATGCTGGTGTACGAAACCAAAAGCTGCAATATGTAACCTTTTGGGCGACCGGACCAAATTCACATAGAAATGTGACTTATAAATCTGTCATTCTCATTGAAAGCAAGTCTAAGAAGCGACTGATCTGTTCTATGTGGGCTATTTCTGTGCTTTCGGTTTTGTACACCAGCTTCAAACAGCTTAAAATACAATATTTTTGGTTATGGAAAATATATTTCACAGCAGTTTAGATGGTACAATGATTCTCTACACTATACTTGCTTGTTTTGTCACATAAACTGAAATTAGGAGAACTATTCGAATTTTAGCAACCACTAAAAATGGCGGCACAATTTCTGCATAGCGCACATAGAACAGATCTACCGCTTCTTAGACTTGCTTTCAAGGAGAATGACAGATCTATAACACACATTTCTATGTGAATTTGGTCGGGTCGCCCAAAAAGTTACATATGGAAGCTTTAAAGCTGACAATCTGCACTTTAACCTCATAGACATTGTATCATTTCAAATCCAAAGTGCTGGAGTACAAAGCCAAAACAACAAAACATTTGTCACTGTCCCTATACTTTTGGAGCTCACTGAATAACCTTTTGATAGCATTTGATACATGTGGTTATAATATGCCTTTATTAACATTATCTCTGGTACCTTCTGCATGGTTCTACACAGTATAATACAAATTAATGTATACAGAACAATAATATCCAATAATATCATATTTGTGGTAGTGCAATGAGATGTATTGTCAGAAAAATAATGAGTTTCTTTTGGGTTTTGTTTATTTACATTTTAGTGGACCACTTCAGTACCTATAGAAGTTGTATCCGTAAAGCGTTTGACCATCAACCCTGTTTGACCTCTACCTTTCCTGGCTGAACTATCATCTACTACGTAAACTCCAGAGCTCCAGAAAACATGAATTCACCTTATGTGCCTGGAAATAAAACATTTTCTGTCCATACCGTATGCAAGACTTTTCTCCTAGTAAATCTCTTTATAACTCCTTCCCCTCTCTCGTCTCTTTTCTCTCCTTTCTTTTCCTCAGGAGTGTGAGTATGATTGACATGCGCTGTGAGGAGGACGCCGTCTTGCCGCACCACAGCCAGGTGCGCCACGAGCTCATGCACAACCAGTACAACATGATGAAGGAAGAAGAGGACCACTGGCAGGACGTAAGCACTCACACACACATACACACACGCACACATACTCATACACTTTCATACACACACTCACACCGAGTGGCGCAGCGGTCTAAGGCACTGCATCTCAGTGCTTGAGGCGTCACTACAGACCCCCTGGTTCGATTCCAGGCTGTATCACAACTGGCCGTGATTGGGAGTCCCATAGGGCGGCGCACAATTGGCCCAGCGTCATCCGGGTTTGGCCGGTGTATGCCGTCATTGTAAATAAGAATTTGTTCTTAACTGACTTGCCTAGTTAAATAAAGGTTAAATAAGAAAATATATACTTATGCACTCATATATTGACGTGTCTGTGTGTTAGGACCTAGCCCGGTGGAAGAGTCGCAGGAGAAGTGTCTCCCAGGACCTGATCAAGAAGGAGGAGGAGAGGAAGATGATGGAGAAGCTGATGACGGGCGAGGGAGGGGCCATCTCTCAGAGGAGGAAGAGTATCAAGACCTACCGAGAGATCGTGGAGGAGAAGTAGGTCACTAGGTCGAACCCTGGTTTCCATATTGTTGGTTGCCTCAATGTACAGTATAGACCTATACCTACTCTCATGTTTCTTATATCCTGGCCTGTTGTTTTTTATCGCATCCTGGCTTCAACCAATTTTGTATTGCTTTTAACTGCATCAGGGGATCAGTAGCAATGTACAGAAATATTTCAACAATGATGCTTTCGTCAGTGTGTAGCCAGTCACATGGCCCCTGTCTCACCTTGTCCTCCCGTCTCTCCTTCCCTAGGGAGCGTCGTGAGAATGAGCTCCGCGAGGCCTACCGGTCAGCCCGCACCCCCGAGGAGGCGGCGTTGGTCCTCCACCGCTACGCCCAGCGTTTCACCATCAGTGAAGCAGTGCTGGAGCGCCTGCAACTGCCCAAACTGCTGGACAGGAGCGTCTCTGAAGATCCGACCACTGCCACCAACACACATCTCTCCCTCACCCCCACCTCCCGTTCTCCCAACCCCACCTCCCCGGAAGAAGATCCAAATGGTCCTCTGAAGTACCTGAGGCAGCAGTCGCTCCCGGCACCCAAGTTTACCGCTACCGTCGAGGCCCAAGTGGCGGGGTTCCCCCAGGGTCAGTCTCATCGCCCCCAGATTCGGTCACGCACGCCTGAACCAAACCCCTCTATCCAGGCTGTCTCGCCTAAGTCTGTGCCTTTGCTGACGCCCAAGCCTTACATCCAACCCAAGGACACGCAGATGCTGGCAGGACCCAAGCCAGGCAAGGTGAGGCACAAAATGCAAGCTAATGGAGCATCAGCAAGGGTTTTATCAGTGTTATATTGTGTGAGCCAGGGTTCAAATTACCAGGGTGTCGTCGGGTTGTTTTGCACTCCCATAACAAATCAGGGCAGCTTCCAGAAGTGTTAAGATACTAACAGATGCTAAGATACTAGCGTCCCCTAAAGTAGTTGGAATGTTTTGTTCAGCCTAGTATTCCCAGGGCACACCGAAATGTATTATGTAAATAGAACCCTGGTCTTGGCATTTACATTAGAATAGCAGACAGAAACCATGGAGATTGGGTGTCATGTTTTCAGACAGAAAGATAGAAATCCCATTTCCTTTTTCTGCGAAGTCGGTTGTGAGGTCTCGATTTAGCACAACAGGGTGTTCATTTTCATCCATACAGTGATTCGCCAAATGGGCCTATTCCAAAGGAAGATAACATGCTTTTCGGTTATTACGGGAACAAACCAGGAGCCAATTCTTTCCACTTTAGTGGCTGGAATGTCTTATTTGGAGCAGAGTGGAGCCTCCGCCTGAATGGGGGGCTCTGTTCCGTATTGACTTAAAAAGTTGACGAGTAGGCCCTCTCAATGTGAAGTGGGTCTCCAGGCAGACAAAGAGGGCCACACAGACTGAGGGGGGATTATGGGTAGTGAGTACCCCTCCATTCAACAACCCCCCTGTGCGTCTGGAGTTAGCACTCGGTGCTGCTCACACATACATTACAGCCTTTCATTCAGTCCCAGTGTTTTATCAGGAGCTAGCTGAATAGCTAATAGGCCAGCGTTAACATGAATGAGTTATGGCTTTATTTACAACATGGGGCAACTTCCGGTCTGGAGGGTCAGGAATAGAACTGTCTGGTCATATTGCGGTCATTGCTGTGGAATGTGGGATTTGGGATTTCACTCCAGTTGACTGTTCTTGCATTGCTGTCTGATGGATATTTTTGGTGAGGATGCAGTCACTGTGTCTCTAAAATGGGATTTTAATGTTTGATTTTTAGATTGAAATGCATCTTTGTAGCGTGTGCATATGTTCATGTGTGCCCACATATGTGTGCACGTGCTGTATGTATGTGCATGCATGTCTGTGTTCTTTAAGCCTGAAGTCTATAACCTGTGTACTCAGGTAGACGGTTTGCTGCAAGTGAACGGCGACATGGGAAACGATGAGGTCACCACTCCAGAGAGCAACGGAAGGACCTCCTCTGAACAGTTCTACCCCTCCACTGCCACGCCTACAGCCTCCTCTGACCCTTCTGACACACACCCATGTGTGACCACTCCCCCACCCACACATAGCCCCTCCCCCAGGGCGAGCCAATTAACAGCCATGACAACTGTGGCACAGGGTGGCACAAGCACAAGCACAGGCACCGCAGTGACACCTTCTTCAGTGCCAGGAGAAGGTGATGCCCAGGAGAAGGGTAATGCACAGGAGTCCATCCCGCCTAGCCGGCCCACCTCACTGCCCACGGTGAGGCTCCAGTACATGCTGCTTTGTTTCTCTGAAAAAATATATAAGTTATCAAAAGGATGCTCATTGGATCCAAGGGTCTGAATAGACCACGTACCGCTAGCAGCATGTTAGCCATAGACTGTTAGTGCTAGTTGTGCATAGCAAAGAAAGACGCATATATGTAAGGAATTGGCAACACATTCTCATTTTGAGAAATAAGCATCTTCTTTGCCGGGTAGATGATTTCAACATCTAAACAAAGTGAACAGGCATGTTGTTCAAACAGTTGGAGTCGGACAGGAAGGTGTATTCATAACAACATAAGTCTTGAAAACTGTTAAGTGAAAACCTACATATAAACCAGAACTATGTGTTGTTCTTAGTCTACATGCAGTCATAGATAGGATAAAGCAACATTGTGTCAGATAGGTCATGACTTCAACAAAAGGAACGTGGAGGACGCATAATCAGAGTATTTCTTCCTCTGTGTGTCCCTGCAGGAGCTGCAGAGCACAGAGAGCATTATGGAGGCGGGAGGCAGGTCTGCTGCAGGCCCACTGAAGGAGGGAGAGCCCAGCACAGCAGCAGCTGCAGAACAGCCCTCTCCAGCTACAGGTCTGTTCATATGCGTTACATCGAATACCAGTCTAACTGCTGCTACCCTGACACCTAGTGGTGACCATTTATATTGTTTTTATAACCCATCAAATCCTGTTGCTATTCAAGATGCATGCTAGTCATTTATTAATCATTGTCTGACTTGCAAATTAACATTTTAAGCTATTAAACAACTTATTCAACTTGGTCTTCCTATGGTTAAAGTCACATTAGGACCCACGGTCTGGACCTATACTCTGATGGAGAACCTTGCTCTGATGCACCTAAACATGTGTCTCTGTCATGTTTAAAGGCTCACAACAAGCTACCAAGGAACAAACAGTAGTGTGTACGAATGCCACAGCGACCAGACAGAATGCCACAGTCCCCTGTCCTGTTCAATCAGAGCACGCCACACAGCAAGCTCAGCCAGTGACTGCACAGGTGAGATCACCTACCAACCAATCAATGGCCCCAATGCTCCAAATAGCCAATCATTTGTGCCCCGCTTTACCTCAAACACAGTCTTAGACATAAAGAAGCCTGGAAGAACATGTTGGGGTTCTAAAAATTGCCACACATGGTAACCTTTCTAGTTCAAAGAGATTCCTAGAGGAACCCCTCTGAAAAGGGTATTCGAGGAACCATCTGTAAAGGTTCAAACCTGAACCGTTTTGTGATGGGAGGGGTTCAATAGAGTACCACAGTATGAGTCATAATACCCATAAAACCTAGCAGTCAAATAGGGAAATGGTTCCAATCGTTTTTCCACCATTCATTTTTTCCATAGGGGATTTTAGAAACACTTAAAATAAGGGCTGTGTTTCATGTAGGCTTATCCTGGCATGACGTTTTCTCTAGGACAAGGTGACTTTTATTAATATATTTGCCTGTATTTGAAAGCCACGCCCCTATTAAGCCATGCCTCCAGTCCAGGGTTCCTCCAGGAACCCTTTGCTACATAGAATTAGTGGTGACTCAAAGAACCGTGGAGATCTTCAAGGAACCCCTGGAGTTCCTCAAAGAACCATTACTAGTCAATGGTTAATATTTGCACCTTTGGTTAGTTGATGGGTTCTTGGAGGAACCTTTAATGTTTCAAAGAGTGCAGAAGCCTTGCCCAGGAGGGTGCAGCGCCATATAACTTTCAGATAGAAATGCATTATGTACAACAGGCATGATTCTATACTGTGTAGAATAGGGTATCACGTAAGCTCTATAAATAAAATGTATATCTGCTACGTTCTAACTGAATATTTTGAATATTCCCCATGTCATGTTTTGATCATTGTGTTTATGACTTTTCTGGTTCTGATCTTAGGTCAGTGAGCCCAGCCTTGAGTTGTCTCAGAGAGCAGAGGAAGTTGCTGCCTTGGCTGATCCAGGACCTGTCAGAAACAAACCACCATGTGAAGCACCCACAACAGGTAATCAAAATCTGTTTTCAGAAGAGAATGAACCTTAAACTACCTTTTCCCAATAGTCTTTATTGTACGCAGCCCTTTCACCTCTGCTATCACACGCCCCAACTCTTTTTTCCTTTGGTTCTCCAACTGGCACTCTGTATTTTTGCTTTTGATCGCTCTATCTATCCCCTCTTTTTCTCCTCACCCCCTTGCCCTGCCTCCTTCCTTCCCCCTCCTTCTCGCTTGTGCTGTAGAGCTGGCTAACAGTGCCAGTTATCCGCCAGAAACCGGCAACCCTAGGTTAGGCCTACGCTGGGAGTTCTTCGCCCCACCAGGTAAACTGCTCACTGAATGGTTGGGCTTGCCTGTAACCGCCGTTGGCGTTCACATACTCATACACTGTGAAGGGTGTCCCCAGTGCTTCCCCAGGGGCTGGGTGACAGCATTGGAAACCCGTTGCCTCACTCTACTGTTTTTTATTTTTTCATTTATTATTGGTGTCCTGTGGATCCCATTATATTTTACATGAAGTTGGTCTTATTATGCTGTAATTACTACATGAATAATGTTAATACAACGTTGTTACAATCGTAACTGCCGTGCAACTACAGGTATAAGAGCAACTTCGTGTAAAGTGTTACAGCATCGTTGAATGTTGATTTTGGTTCACTTTTGCACAGACCATCTCCGAAAAGGAAACTGGAATTGTTAGCCACTCAGTAGTGAAAAATACCACACAGCTCGTAGCTTTTCAGCAACTCAATCTTTAACTTTATACCTTATCACCTTGATTTGTTCCCTGCCACCTTTCGCTTTATTCCCTAATTCCCCCCCATGACATTCATTATGTAAATAGCTTTTTCCATGTGTTCACACAAAGACAGCGTAGTTACCAAATGAGATGACAAAAAATGTCATGTCCACTCAGCATCAGTTCCTGTGTTTGACAGATGTTTGTTTTCTAACCGTCTACCTTTTTCACTCTATTTCTATTTCATAGAGGGGGAAGAGCCGGAGCGTGGTAAAGTGGTGGTAAGTAGATTGTAATGGTGCTTTCCTGGTAGAGTTCTAAATGGTTTTTTATTGTTTCTCATCTGGTTGAGACATTAGGCCACACAATAACAAAACGTTTTAAAACGTGAAACAAAGACAAGTGTTTCTTATTGGGCAAGTTCAGTTAGTGGCTCCTCGTGTTCTTCTGTTTTGTGCCTACTGAGCACAATCCTTTCGTTGTTTTTCTAATATATGTAGGACCTCCCTAAGACCCAATGATTGATTGGTCATTCTTCATTGGCTCAACCTATTAGATGAGGAAGATGTACAAAGCGCCCAGCATTGCGTTTCTCCTTTTCCCTTCTTCCCCTCATCTCTCTTTTCTCTCTCCTTAGTAGGACTCCTTTGGCTAGCATGGAAATGGTGCTGTGGTAGATCAACTGTCTGTCTCCTCTCTTCCCTGTTTGTGGATGTGTGTGTGTACTTCGGTTTATGGGTTTGTGGGTTGGTTTGTGTATGTATGCCTGCTGGGTGTGCCACAAATGTTGTGGTGGTGTGTGGGGTAGTGGTGTGTTTACGGGTGTTGTGGTAGGTGTGTTATGTGGGTGTGTGTGTGTGTGTGTTGTGTGTGTGTGTGTGTGGTGTGTGTGTGTGGTGTGTGTGTGTGTGTGGTTGTGGTGTGTGTGTGGTGTGTGTGTGTGTGTGTGACGTGTGTGTGTACGTGTGTGTGTACTGTGTGTGTGTGTGTGTGTGTGGTGTGTGTGTGTGTGTGCGTGTGTGTGTGTGTGTGCGTGTGTGTACGTGTGTGTGTGTGTGTGTGTGTGAGCCCCGGATGGGCCCTATCAGGTCACTCAGGTGTCATCCCCGGTAGTGATCCAGGTTAAGCGGGGTGACCGCTGGTCTTGGGACCCAGATGAGGAGCGAAAGCGTCAGGAAAGGTGGCAGCAAGAGCAGGAGCGCATGCTTCAGGTAGCCTGAGTTATGCTACTAAAGACACAAAAGCAAAGCCTGACTTAGCATGCTAAAGCTAGGCATGAGTTAAAATGCTGCTATAATTATGGTAACAAAAGCTAGCCGAGTGGCAAAAGCTTGGCCTGAATAAGCCTATTGTTTACTGAATCTATGGTCTGCAGCCCCAGTTACATTTACCCAAAGTGGGGGCTTTCTATTAGCATGCAGCCACATTGAAATTAACCACAATATTGCTTAGGCATCTGCCTGCTCTGAGTCTGAAGTCGAACCCCAATCTGCTACTCACGGTTGCAGCATTGCACAATAAAAAGCTTTGTGCTATGGCATGTCCTGCGTCTCACATTCACTCGCCAGAACCCCAAATCTGACGCCAGTCAACCTCGCACTCCTCCTCTACCTACCCATCATAGGGTGTGTCTCAATTCTCCAAAGTAGCCTTCCTTTATCCTTACATCCTCACTATATTCTCAGATCTGTACAGAAGAATGGGATGAGATGAGGAAAGAAAGCCATTTTAGACTATTGACATCCACCCACTGGGTTTGCTTGGCTGGTTCATGAACCCTTGTCACCCTTGTCACCTTTGACCCCTAAACCCCCTTGTCATTGCATGGTGTGTCTGTTGCTTTGGTGGTTTTTGATGGTTTGTCTTTTCTCTTATCTTTACACTTTTCATCATGCATGCTATGTTTGTGTATGCCCACTTTTCCTGTCACATGATTTTCCCATGTTTCTCATTGGCGCTTCCTACAGACCTGAACTAACACAAGTTATTAATTGAGATGAAATCCAATGTGAATGGATAGTTCACCTCAAAATCAAAGTTGATCCAATGTTTTCATATTTCAAAATGAGTCTGAAGTTGAATCTTCTATGTTTCACACCATCTGTTGCAGAGCTCTTTCAGTCCCACTTTAAACGAAGTGCAACCTATAAAGGCTTTATATTACACTGAACAAAAATATTTGACTTAGTTACAGTTCATATAAGGAAATCAGTCAACTGAAATAAATTAATTTGGCCCTAATCTATGGATTTCGCATGACAGATATGCATCTGTTGGTCACAGATACCTTAGAAAAAAGGTAGGAGCGTGGATCAGAAAGCCAGTCAGTATTTGGTGTGACCACCATTTACCTCATGCAGCGCGACACATCTCCTTCGCATAGAGTTGATCAGGCTGTTGATTGTGGTCTGTGGAATGTTGTCCCTCTCCTCTTCAATGGCTGTGCGAAGTTGCTGGATATTGGTGGGAACTGGAACGCACTGTTGTACACGTAGATCCGGAGCATCCCAAACATGCTCAATGGGTGACAAGTCTGGTGAGTATGCAGGCCATAGAAGAACTGGGAAATGTTCAGCTTACAAGAATTGTGTACATATCTTTGCGAAACATGAAGTGATGGCGTCGGATGAATGGCATGATAATGGATCTCAGGATCTAGACACGGTATCTCTGTGCATTGAAATCGCCATCGATAAAATGCAATTGTGTTCGTTGTCTGTAGCTTATGCCTGCCCATACCATAACCCCACCACCACCATGGGCACTCTGTTCACAACGTTCAGCAAACCGCTCCCCCACACAAAGCCATACATGTTGTCTGCCATCTGCCCGGTTCAGTTGAAACTGGGATTCATTTGTGAAGAGCACACTTCTCCAGCGTGCCAGTTGCCATTGAAAGTGAGCATTTGCCCACTGAAATCAGTTACGATGCCGAACTGCAATCCGGTCAAGACCCTGGTGAGGACGACGAGCACGCAGATGAACATCCCTGAGACGATTTCTGACAGTTTGTGCAGAAATTATTCGGTTGTGCAAACCCACAGTTTCATCAGCTGTCCGAGTGGGTGGTCTAAGACGATCCCACAGGTGAAGGAGCCGGATGTGGAAGTCCCTGGCTAGCTTGGTTCATGTGGTCTACGGTTGTGAGGCCGGTTGGACGTACTGCCAAATTCTCTAAAACGACGTTGGAGGCGGCTTATGGTAGAGAAAGGAACATTACATTATCTGGCAACAGCTCTGGTGGACATTCCTGCAGTCAGCATGCCAATTGCACGCTCCCTCAAAACTTTACATTTTATTGTCCCCATCACAAGTTGCCCCTGTGTAATGATCATGCTGTTTAATCTGCTTCTTGATACACTACACCTGTCAGGTGGATGGATTATCTTGGCAAATGAGAAATGCTCACTAAAGGGATGTAGACAAATTTGTGCACAGAATTGGAGAGAAATAAGCTTTTTGTGTGTATAGAACATTTCTGGGATCTTTTATTTCAGCTCATGAAACATGGGACTAACACTTTACATGTTGCGTTTATATTTTTGTTCAGTATACATAAAGCCTTCATAAGCACTACATAAATGTTTCACAAATCATCTATAAGCATATGTCATAATCTACAAATGGTGTATTAAGGGTGACATAACAATTCCCACTGTAGGGTCAATGTCCGTGCCCCCGTGGAATTCTAATTAGCATAATAAAGAAATCCCCATAAAAATCTGTCTGTTTAAGCTAGAGATATATGTTTCATAGGCTGCGTCTCAATCCACCGCATCAACCGATGTCAGCGTTCCGCATCTGTGGTGGAAGGTGGCAGAGCAACAGCGCTATTTGTCAGACCAGGAGACATCCAGATAAAACGGTCTTCTCACAACTATAGTGTCTGAATGGTTTGGGCTACACACTAATATTGAAAGTCTCTCACGAACATGAGGGTGTTGTCCGTTTTGCTCTATGACCCCCACAAACGGCACAGGACTCATCTGAAGTCAGTACTGCAAATGTGCCAACTTCTGTCTGTAGCGTCAGAACTGTTTGGGCTACAACCCCCACAAGTGTCATGGGACTCATCTGAAGGTAACCTGGTATGGGCAGAAAAATGTATGGAAGTGAATGGGGCATTTCCACGTGAAAGGTATACGGGTAATTCCATGGTAAAAACTTTTTTTTTCTTCTGAGCTTTCTTATATCTCTCAAATATAGGACAGACACTTCAAAACATACAGTGAGGGAAAAAGTATTTTGATCCCCTGCTGATTTTGTACGTTTGCCCATTGACAAAAGAATGATCAGTCTATAATTTAAATGGTAGGTTATTTGAACAGTGAGAGACAGAATACACAAAAAAATCAGAAAAATGCATATCATGAAATGTTATACATTGATTTTGCATTTTAAACGAGGGAAATAAAGTATTTGACCCCTCTGCAAAATATGACGTAGTACTTGGTGGCAAAACCCTTGTTGGCAATCACAGAGGTCAGACGTTTCTTGTAGTTGGCCACCAGGTTTGCACACATCTAAGGAGGGATTTTGTCCCACTTCTCTTTGCAGATCTTCTCCAAGTCAATAAGGTTTCGAAGCTGACGTTTGGCAACTCGAACCTTCAGCTCCCTCCACAGATGTTCTATGGGATTAAGGTTTGGAGACTGGCTAGGCCACTCCAGGACCTTAATGTGCTTCTTCTTGAGCCACTCCTTTGTTGCCTTGGCCGTGTGTTTTGGGTCATTGTCATGCTGGAATACCCACCCACGACCCATTTTCAATGCCCTGGCTGAGGGAAGGAGGTTCTCACCCAAGATTTGACGGTACATGGCCCCGTCCATCGTCCCTTTAATGCAGTGAAGTTGTCCTGTCCCCTTAGCAGAAAAACCCCCCCAAAGCATAATGTTTCCACCTCCATGTTTGACGGTGGTGATGGTGTTCTTTGGGTCATAGGCAACATTCCTCCTCCTTCAAACACGGCGAGTTGAGTTGATGCCAAAGAGCTCGATTTTGGTCTCATCTGACCACAACACTTTCACCCAGTTCTCCTCTGAATCATTCAGATGTTCATTGGCAAACTTCAGACGGGCCTGTATATGTGCTTTCTTGAGCAGGGGGACCTTGCGGGCACTGCAGGATTTCAGTCCTTCACGGCGTAGTGTTACCAATTGTTTTCTTGGTCACTATGATCCCAGCTGCCTTGAGATCATTGACAAGATCCTCCCGTGTAGTTATGGGCTGATTCCTCACCGTTCTCATGATCACTGCTTGGAGCCCCAGGCTGAGGGAGATTGACTGTTCTTTTGTGTTTCTTCCATTTGCAAATAATCGCACCAACTGTTGTCACCTTCTCACCATGCTGCTTGGCGATGGTCTTGTAGCCCATTCCAGCCTTGTGTAGGTCTACAATCTTGTCCCTGACATCCTTGGAGAGCTCTTTGGTCTTGGCCATGGTGGAGAGTTTGGAATCTGATTGATTGATTACTTCTGTGGACAGGTGTCTTTTATACAGGTAACAAGCTGAGATTAGGAGCACTCCCTTTAAGAGTGTGCTCCTAATCTCAGCTCGTTACCTGTATAAAGACACCTGGGAGCCAGAAATCTTTCTGATTGAGAGGGGGTCAAATACTTATTTCCCTCATTAAAATGCAAATCTATTTATATCATTTTTGACATGTGTTTTCCTGGATTTTGTTGTTGTTATTCTGTCTCTCACTGTTCAAATAAACCTACCATTAAAATTATAGACTGATCATGTCTTTGTCAGTGGGCAAACATACAAAATCAGCAGGGGATCAAATACTTTTTTCCCTCACTGTACTTCCTTTGATGTATTTTTGGACTATCTATTTTTCCATGTATGAATCTGTTATTCATTGTGTTTTTATGGGCTAATAGCAGTAAGGCTAAATTCAATGTTTCATCAAATACATATTTTTAAATATTATTTTATACCTATAGGGGTCCTATTATTCAAAATAAAATAGCTAAATGATCCTTGGTATGACCATCTTATTTGTGAAGCATTTATGTAGTGCTTATGAAGCCTTTATGTATGCTCTATACTTTGTACTTTGTTTAAATTGGGACTGTTATTTCTATATAACATGCAAAAAGAGAACTGGTAATGCAAAGATTGGCAACTTATTAGATAATAGAAATCAAGGAAGCAATTTGAAGCCCAGTCATACTTAACTTACTACATGCTACATGAGGGCCATAGGGAGAGTGATATGTAGTGATGGGAAATCAAGGCTTTCTGAAGCCTTTGGGGCTTTCACCAAATTGTGCAGAAAAACGGTTCATTACTCAGAGCTTTTAACACTATGCACATTAGTGACATCTGCTGGTCAGCAATGAAAAGCAGAATTTGATGTTCATAGAGGTTTTCCCACAATATTCATAACATCTCCGTAGCATGGCTGCTAGTGGAGGGTCTTAGTAACCTACTAGCAGTTGCTGCAACTGGACTCAAGGGTAGACGTAACATAGTAAATGTAAATCCGAGACACTCCATTTAGTATGAAATGTTACGTTTCGTATGGTATGTATTCATTTGTGGAGGTCCATCATCCATTTCGTATGATATGTTACGAATTACAATTCGTATGACATGTTACGAATTGCAATTCGTATGATATGTTACGAATTGCAATTAGTACAATATCTTACGAATAGCAATTAATATAATATGGTACCAATTTGTAAAATGTATGATATGTTACGAATTCCAATTTGTTGTGGCTAACATTAGCTAGGTGGTTAATCTTAACATTTGCTAGGCTAGGGATTAGAGGTTAAGGTTAGGGTTAGGGTTAGGTTAAAGGGTTAAGGTTAGGGTTAGGGTTAGGGAAAGGGTTAGCTAACAAGCTAAGTAGTTGCAAAGTTGCTAATTAGCTAAAATTGTCTGTGATGAGATTCAAACATGCAACCTTTGGGGTTGCTAGACATTCGCATTATATGTTCGACCAACCACTTTACTTTTGTTTGTCTCACATCTCTTCTTCTCATTGTTAATGAATGTATGCCATCTCTCGTTGCCACGATAACAGGAGAAGTACCAGCGCGAGCAGGAGAAGCTGAAACAGGAGTGGGAGAGAGCGCAAAGAGAGGTGGAAGAGGAGGAGAGGAGGTACCATGAGGAGGTGTGTGTGTGTGTGTTTGTGTGTGTGTGTGTGCTTGACGAAGGTGGCAGGGTGGAGAGTATGTGTATTTGCAGTGTTGGGGAGTAGTGAACTACATGTAGTTCAACTTGTAATTCAACTACAATTTGCAGTAGCTTGATGGTAGTTTCATTAAATTCTAGGTAGTGTTTTCTGTAGTTAATTACTTTTTTGCCATGTAGCGGTGTAGCTAACTACTGGAACTACACTACTTTTCTTTGAGAAGAGAAGAAAATATGGGGGAAATAGGCAATCATTTATTTTCTTTTTTGGCATCATACCTGCCTAAATCTCACTTGAAACATAGTTTTTGTGTTTAATAGGCTAAATTGCACATTCTGTTAACATATGACCCCAAAGTGATCTATTCTTGCAATTTTGTAGTCTATGACATTTCAGATTGATATAAGATAATGTTTCACTAAGTATTTTGGATGTAGTGAGCTACTTTAGTTAAGTAAACTATATTTTTCATAAGGATAGCTTTAGTGTAGCTTAACTTCTTCCAGTGTGAAGTAGTTGGTAGCTTGGTAAGCTATGTTTTCAGAGTACCTTCCCCAACACTGTGTGTGTGTGTGTGTGTGTGTGTGTGTGTGTGTGTGTGTGTGTGTGTGTGTGTGTGTGTGTGTGTGTGTGTGTGTGTGTGTGTGTGTGTGATGTGTGTGTGTGTGTGTGTGTGATGTATGTGACTGCTGACTGAAAACATTTCCATACAATGACTCTTTCCTACATTCTGCCCTCCCTCTCTCCCTAACTTGCTCCCTTCCCTCCTTCCCCTCCCCCCTTACCCCTCCCTCCACCTTCTCTCGTCCTTTCCTCCCTCCCTCCTTTCCTCCCTCCACAGGAGCGTAGGATACTAGAAGAGACTGTGGCCCCCCTGACCCCCCTCTCCTCCACCTTCCCCTCACCCATCCGGGGGGACGGCCCCACACCCATGGACCCCCAGGACACCATCGTCCGGTCGCTGGCCGACTGGGAACGCAAGCAGGAGCTGCTGGAGAGGCAGGGGGTGAGAGGAGATGTTATATTGGGTTACCTTTTGAATCAATCTAACATTTTGAATTAGCCATTTTATTCAACAGTAAATATATGCAAAGAGGCAATGTGTTTTTTGTTTCATTGGATTTTAAGGTATCACAACTTGACACAGTTCAAAGGCATTATACTCAGTGTATGAGTAGGGACGTGGACTTCACTAATCCAGTGAAATTGTGAACTAACCATTTGAATTTATTGAACAGCTTATATGTCCCATAAGGCAGTATGTTTTGTGTTTTAGTGGATTTTAGCGTGATTGTAACCTACCCTTTGAAACTGCCTTCATCTCTCTTCATCCACCAGGGGAGCACAGAGAGTGTGGAATGGAAAGGACAAGATATCGACAGGAGTAGTGACATCAGCACAGCGTCCAGAGATGAGAGCCTGAAAACAGCAGTCAGGTCAGTCTGAGAGTGTGCGTGTGTGTGTGTGTGTGTGTGTGTGTGTGTGTGTGTGTGTGTGTGTGTGTGTGTGTGTGTGTGTGTGTGTGTGTGTGTGTGTGTGTGTGTGTGTGTGTGTGTGTGTGTGTGTGTGTGTGTGCCGTTGAACCCTACAATGGGCATGAAAATAATGACTTTCTATTTAATGTCATTGCTCATTAATGACAAATGTTTCTTTTTTATACCCAAACTGAAACTAATCATTAATTTAATCAAACAATCAATCGTCCACAGCTCGATCAGCCAGAACAGCAGTCAGGCAGACAAGCTGACTCAGAGTCTGAAGAATGGTCAAAGAGCACCACCCGCCATGGCCCTGCCCCAGCCCCCCAACAAGAAACAACATCCAGAGGTCTTACTAGACTGCACCAAACCCAGCCAGCAGACGCCCTCTCGGGACAGGAGGTATGTGCGGGTGCGGAGGGATGTGGGGTAGGGGTAGGGTGCGTGCATGAGTGTGAGTTTGTTCTGTCATTCACAGGCTAATATGCACTGTATCATGCAGAGAGGTTTCTCTTTTTGTTTTTAAGTTAGGTTATTGACTCGGAGGGCCCTCCGTTGTCACGTGTTGCTGACGAAACCCAGAGGTTGACTTCCAGAGAGTTGCGAGGGGATCAATAAACCCCTCAACTTAAGGACACACTCCTGACTTGAATGATGCAATTCATGTTCCACTTTTAAATATGAACATGAAAATCAAATGAACAAATCCAGCCTATCGTTTTACAAGACATAAACATCAGTAACAGTTAAACATTTAATTTGGGAGGTATTTCATCTGTTACATGTGTCAAGTCTGGAAATCAGACATAAACAAATTCACGTGGCAATGTAATTAGGCACCACTCTCCCTTATTTTGATCTAAATTGCACATATTCCAAACATATCACGGTGTGTGTCGGGATAACACTTGGCTCTGAAGTATACAGCCTTGCTGGCTTGGCTGAAGTGGCTATCAGAGGGTCTAATTAGCCCCTACACCCTCGATCAGTTTTACTCCCTCAGCTTTGGGGCACTTGTGCATATGGCCGAGGCACACAGGAACGCGCAAATGGAGGGCCGCGGGGAAGGGAGTGATTTGGGAATCAGCCCAGGCTTTATAGTGAAATGACAACAGAGATGTTATATTTAGGAATTCACAAAAAGGTATCTTATTTATAATTGTCCAACCAATAAAAAAGGTAATTTTTTGTGGTTCAAAAAAATAAGAACACATATTGGTAAACCTACTGCCTATAGTGTGAATTTGTAAAATGCAGCTGTATTGCACAATGTATGGTCAACAGAATTGGCAACAACATTTGTATTTTCACCTATAGCAGTGTTTCCCAACAGCACACATTTTTGCTGTAGCCCCGGACAAACTCACCCGATTCAACTCATTGAGGGCTTGATGATTAGTTGACAAGTTGAATCAGGTGTGCTTGTTCGGGGCTACAACAAAAATATGTGCGGTGTGGGGTACTCGAGGACTGGAGTTGAGAAACACTGACCTATAGAACCTCAATATTGTTTGCTTAGCTCTCATAGTTTTGATTGGTCCAATTCATACTAAAGGATCCAATCATGTCCATGTTGCTAGACAGGCCGTCATGTTGCATGTTGCTCTTCATCTCCAGGTGTGGCTCTATTGAGACCATAGGGCCCAGTCCATCAAAGTCACCCACCACATGCCCATCCGACATGCCTCCATCTCCAAACAGGTATTTTGCCACATGTACACATATTGTACACCAGAGGACGCCAAACTCAGCTCCTTGAGGCCTCTTACTGCTGCTTCTGTTATCTGTTATATTGAGAAGGATATTGAACTTGCCTCAAGTGCAAGGTTTGATCTGTGTTTTTCTGTGAAAAGTAGGGCAATCATGTCAGTTCTATAGAAGACATTACTGGTATCTCTAACTGGTATAACTGAGTCACAAATACTGTAGTAATGTGTAGATTCATATGCTTTACTACAGTATATGCGAGTCAGGAGGAATCTACAAGCCTCAATCCCTAAATGTTCCATTCACTATCACTGGACCATATATCCACTGAACCATACTTATTTTGGCACTGCGGTCATTCAGTTTGTGCTGCTCAGTTGTCAATCTGTGGTAACCTGGACCATGTTCTCCCCTGCAGGTCGGTGAGCGGTAAGAAGCTGTGCTCCAGTTGCGGTCACCCTCTGGGCAAAGGGGCGGCCATGATCATTGAGACCCTCAGCCTTTACTTCCACATCCAGTGCTTTAAGGTCAGTATCACGCAGGCAGGCTGTGTTAGGTCAGCATCATATCATCAAAGCAACACATCCATCCATAGGTAGTAGCCACAGGACCATGACTAATGCAATTGATGATGAATTTCAATCCAACCCGTAAACCAACCCCCCCAGATTCTCCTTGTTGATCTTTAAGGATTGTATAGGTGCAAGTAATATGGCAAATGTCCCGCCCAACCAATCAGAAGGCAAGGTGAAGGAATTACCATATTGCTTAAACCTTTCCATCCTCTCTGATCAACACTTTAACCAATGCCGCCAGCCTTGTCCAATCAGTGATTACTACAAGCAAGGAAGGAAAGAATGATGCATTTTCAAAGTATTCAAACAAAGCCTATGTCTTGCTTTGCTTCCACCTTCCTCTCTCTCTTTCTTCCTCTTCCCCCTCTCTGCAGTGTGGGGTCTGTAAGGGACAGCTGGGTGACACCACCACGGGGACAGACGTGAGGATTCGGAACGGCCTCCTCAACTGCCACCAGTGCTACATCCGCTCCCGCTGTGAGTCACACACACACTCACATCCCCGCTTGCACACACACACACACACACACACACACACACACACACACATGTATACATACTTGCATACATCCTCTCTCTCTCTCTTTCTCACATACACACCTTTGTCTTCCTCGCTTTCACATGATAAATAGCTACATCACACTCTAATGAATTCATTGCCCTTTTCACAGTATTAATTTTGCTGATGTAAGAGTATCATGTACCCAATTGCCTCAGAGAAATACATGTCTTTTTCCTTAATCCCATTGAATTACGATGATCCTCTATTAGAGAATTTACGGTTGTCCTTATTGTTGCTCTGTTTCTTTTCAGCAGCCTGCCAGCCAACCACATTGTGACGACGTTGGGAAAGCACAAGGATTACGGAGAAACTGTCTCCCCTCTTCCTTTTTCTCCAGATAATCGACATATGTGTGGAATGTGTCTTGTCTGTCAAGGCCTATGTTGGGATCTTTGCAATGTCTGCAATTCACATCCCATCGACTTTATTGAAATGGGCCAAAAAATGTCTGACCTTGGAAAATTGTGTGTTCATTGAATATTAGTGACTGATCATAGTCGCCCTTTGGATTCTATTGGCCCTGTATGATTACAGCTCAGAGGTTCTCACTTCCTCATTTCTATATGCACCCACAAGCCCTTGAGAGGATGGTGGCCATTTTGAATCTGAGCTCTGATACTGTAAATATGGTGTAGACAGTATGACAGCCTCCATCACTTCAAAACTGTATAGGAAACTCCTGAAAATACCAATGCAATGAAATCCAATCAATGAGTTTGGCACTTAGACTCAATATTTCTTAATAAGAAAACCCTTTATTTTAATTGAATTATTCTCTGGTATGGAGGTTGTTGGATAGACTTTATTAGTCTTTCCTTTGTAACCAGCTTTTAATTTGTTCCTTAAGAAGGTTGTCAAGATTTCGAATTAAAGTTTAAAGTATTGTAATAGAAGTGCATTCCATTTTGATGACTTGAGATCTTTAGGGGTTATTTCTTGATGGTCAACAAAAGGCTTAGAAAAGCCTGATTGTTACTCCTGTTTTAGATTTTCGCTTAAACCACAATTAATCCAAACTGGCTTTAAATTCTGAGAGTAAAATTGTTTTTCTGCCTTTCTTATATTTACAGGAAGCTCGAAAATTGGCTGTTTATCTTTTATTTATTCCCTGTTGCTTTAGTAGCCTACTGGATAAAAAATAAATATCGTGCTGTCACTAGGATATACATTACAGTAACATCGCACTTTGGCCTGAAAACGTTCTCCTTTTCTCACTTTCTTTGCTCGAAACAAATATCGCTTACAAGTTAGATGTACTTGATTTTAGAGCAATAACAGGAACTGGTGCATGTGAACTTGTTGCGCTTGTGGAGGATAACAATTGTCATTAGTACGGATGTATGCTACTGTACTAAACCATTCGGTTTCCTCTTAACCAATTATCTTTAGGAATTTCACGCTTGGAATGTCATGAAACATGTGCCTTAGGTAAGCAGGTGGTTTCACACGCCAGGGAAGATAACCCAAATACGGTGTCCACTTAAGTATGACTGGTAAGAAATTAGAGGTTTTTGTCCATTTGAGTATGATTGGGTAGGTTGGGAGGTATTTGTCGAAATAGTGCTAAAACAGAGGACACTGCACCAGGGCTTAAAATCGCCCCACTATTATTTTTTGTTGATATCCCCCTTTAGTTTTTGCTCATGTCATAGCCTACCAAACCTTCCATTGTTTTCTCATGATTTCGTGATTTGCAGTGATAGTCTTTACAGTTTAAAACGGAATCTATAATATATCTAAGATATATGGTTGAAATATTTAATAGCAGCCATTTGCAACAAAAATTGACATTGTTTTTTTAAATTGAGTATCCGAATGTTATTATTTTATTATAATGAGGCTATATGCCTCTCTATGCCCTGTTGACAGTGGTGACGATTTTGGTAAATGCTCAGCAATAGAAAACCATTTTCAACACAAAAAATAAAATTATTAGGCCTACTTGTTGCGTTGTGAAATTATGGCTAGAATGTTCTTACCAGCAGTTGCACGTGAGTAACATTTGGTTGAATATAAACTAAAGACCAGTCAGTGCCAGCAGTTCGAGAAATGATACCAGTGGTGGATATATGTTCAAATGCACGTAGGCCTATTCCAAGTCATTTGCTATCTCGAAATAAATCCATAGCCTTCTCTTATATCGGACGTATGATCCATTCTCAAATGTAGCTTACAACTTTGCCCTGTCTCGTCTGGGTAGGTTTTTCTGACATACTGTATTTTTAAGCTTCGGTTCTGATTGTGTATTTTTTACTTTTACTTAGGAAATGAATACATCTCGGCTAATTTTGAAGGGGGGCATCTTTGAGACAGAAATATCGATATTGTCTTAGCAAGATAAATAGCTTGGGAATTATATTTTATGTCTAAGTTCTTTATTTATTGTAATATTCACCTGAACACTATCCGAATATAGATTAATTTGATGTTCAAATGCAATGGCTTTATAGCATACTGTATGTTTATAAATAAAATGTAACAAAATAAATGGATTTGTGGGTGTCTGTAGTTATATGATATTATGAAGTAGGCAATTCGGCTCAACTTGTCAGAAAGCGTGCTTTCTGGCGCGAGGCGCTGTCCATGGTGCTGAAATCAATCCCCAGCCCTTTGAATGGGCCACGGCCGCCAGGTGTCTTTCAGTGTATTAGGTGAGTTATACTATAGATGTGCATAGTAATATTTGATATTATAGAATCCATGACAATAGTTATTAAACAATGTGATGAATTTGTGAGAACTAAAATGTGAACTTGACATGGATTAGTGAATCAGAAGATAACCAAACTCGCACATAAAATAGTATTAACATTTTAAAATATTTTGCAGGCAGAATAGTAGCCTAACCTGTTTGCTTACATTTTGTCTAAAGATGTACAAAGAAAAAAACATGACAAAGCAAATTTGATTATTATTTTTATCACCAACAACCATTTCAATGGTACACCTGGAAAACTATGTGAACATGTAGAAATATTTCCTTCTTAAATATAAGCATTCATTACCTACATATAAATAGCTTTCAAATCCTGGACAAAACATGTTACATTATGCTCACAAAATGGGGAAAATTATTATAAAATCGGACAGAAAAGACGACATGCAAATAAAAATGAAATAAATACAATGTTTCCATCCATTCCCTTTTTTTACGCAAAATAAATTCGCCAGTTGTAACTTTGTAAAACGTCAAAAAAGACTGTGATTCTACAAGGGGAGTATGGCCTATGGTAAACTATAGGATACAATAATACATATTAACACTATACAATTTGAGCCACAAAAACACAGCCTTAGAAAGACACACAAACAATTAGGCCTACTTATTCCTGTCAGCAGTACTTTGTGCCTTTTTTTTTGGAAATAATGCGTGTTCATTTGATATCAACAATTGAACGAAACGATATTCTTCATGAGCCCTGAAACAGTGACGTATAGGCTACTTACACTTAGCAAGTTGCATCAGGAAATTGACAAAATAGTCGATGTCTCATTCGATAATAAGTAGAGATGTTCGATATATCAAACACCTTCAGTCAAATAAGAATGTTGGCAACTTAAAAAAAAAGAAGCAGTTGTAGCCTACAGTGTCCAATATATTTTGACATCTGGTCCTATGATGGGACTGCGTATGAATGCGCAGCTGTTTGTGGTTACTTGAACCAGACAGTTATAAGTGCAGAATGACCACGATACTAGACGATAACCGTATTTTTACAACTGCGGTTATGATAGGCCTATCAGTGTCCTTCTGTCTGTCTTGTAACATCCCTCCTTCCACGACTCAACACTCCTCAGTCACCGGAGTCAGTAAACCATGTTTCTCTTGTTGATTTTGTCAATGGGTCTCGGCTGTATTAGAACATGCTCGTCTTTACTAATGTAGCTTTGGCTACGTTCTGTCTTTGCAAAGAGGACAGTACGCTGGCGAACGGTCCACCCAATGAGTCCGGGATAGAGGTGATGGTGCCCGGGGCAGAAGCCCAGCCTTGACTCGGTGTGTTTCCACACATGCCGGGAGACACTGACGTCTTCCCTTGGTCCACTTGTCCGTTTCCGCTAGAAACGTTGACCTGGCCAATGGTTGGACTGGGCCCGCTGCAGTTGGACGTTGGGACGGGGTTGGGCCCCGGTCCTCCGGTGCTGTCAGGATCGGTAGATTTGGCCTCTTTACTGTCCTCGTCCCTAGAGTCCGACTTCTTCCCGGAGCCATTCTTGGCAGCTGCAGCTGCAGCAGCGGCCGCGCGCTCTTGCTTGCGGAATTTGGCGCGTCGGTTTTGGAACCACACCTTTAAAAGGAAAAACAGATCCAAAAGATTTAGACAACTGATAGTGTGCGTTTTTCAAATTGTCATTAAATCAAATAGACCTACTGTATGTGTAAATGACTGAAACCATTGTCATGCTGTCAATATTGGATGATGCAACATGATACTGTATCCGCATATTGACAGTCGGAAAACAACCCTCATATGTGTAATTATTCACAAATAATATACAACAGCCCGATGAGTTCTGTATGGACCTGATTTTGGCAAAAGTCGTAATAAACCAAATGAAAAATGTTAAACCCCCAAATAATAGTAGGGAGCCTTGTGCGTAATGACTCGAGTTCGGAAAAGATGGTGCACTTGGATGAGGTGAGGATAGCGCCGGACAGCATAGCCTACCTGCACTCTGGCTTCAGTCAAATCGATTTTGAGCGCCAGCTCCTCTCGTGTGTAGATATCTGGGTAGTGGGTCTCAGCAAAAACCCTCTCGAGCTCCTTGAGCTGCGCGCTGGTAAAAGTGGTCCGAATGCGCCTCTGCTTTCTCTTCTCGTTCAGTCCACCATGATCCGTAAAGAGTTTGTAAGGAACTGTGGGAATTAAATGTCAACATTAAATGTATTTGCAATGGCAATAGCTGTAGAGTAATAGAAAGATATGATCATATATAATTGCAATGTTGTCAGATTAAAATCAATCCGAATTAGAATGATTCTGTTTAAAATCGGGTTATTGTTATTATATTCTATAATCTGTTAGATTTCTTGTGGATTAGTGCTAAATTGAGACCAGTGATGAACTGTAATGTGGTTAATTGTAATGGTAAACTAATTCTTGCTTTGATATTGGGGTTCAAGTTTGGAAACGTGTCATAATGTTGCCATTCGTCCCGGTAGTTGCTATTGTAACTCCAATTCCTTGTCAATAATGAGCTTTAGTCTTTGGTTATCTAATTATTTTCGACGCTTTATGTCTCATCGCAAAGTAAATAAATTATGCCTATCATTTTGGCAGCTTAAGGTAATTTTGTTGGCGGTTTGGGTGTGACTGGTATAGTGTAACTCCGTAACTGAATTACCGATTGCCTGCAATCGCTTCTAACGTGATAAATTATTTCATTTGTGTAAGCAAATTTCGTTTGGTAAATACTAAACACATTTCCATTTTCAAATGCAATCAAGACGTCCTATATACCCGGGTAGAGAGCGTGGAGTTGTGAACAAAGTTGGCGGTTGCTTACCTGCAGCGTACGGGCTGCTTTGGTGGTCCCGCAGGGTCCCCAGACTGCAAGACCCCGGCGTGAGCGACGGGCAGCCGGAGGTAGCCCCAAACGTGGTCCTGATCGGATTGTACTGAAACCCACTGGCTTGACTGCACGAGCTGAAGTCCGCATAGGCTGATGCCAAGCTTGACGTGTCCATCCCGGCCATACATGACTCGTAGGCAGAGGAATTTAAGTAAGAATACTCCATTTTATACATTTGAAAAGGCTCCGTGGATAAAGAAAGCAGCACTTCCCAGGAAAAATGATAACAACGCGAGATATGTTGGGGAGAGATGAATTGCTTGGATTTGACTGTTTTGGAAAGAGGCTAGACTGTGGGTAGATGTGCACTGCTCGGCGCCTGCTCCAAAACTGGCCTCCTTTATAGGAGCTTCGCCCTGTTTTATGAAAAGCCCCCTAAGAGCCGCCTAGCCTCAGGTCTCTAGAGCATATAGTCCTCATAATAAACTTGGCTCTTTCCGCTTGGACAATAGCAAAGCGTTTGGTCTTATTGCTAGCGCTTTTTTACATGACAATAACTCATCAGTCTATTGGGCTGGCACTGGGGGACCGCGCTGTCCAACCTCCCTATCATTGATCCCCTGCATCTCTAATTAGAATTTAATACCACGCCATTACGCGCCGACCCCCCCCCCTCTCCCAGCGCGCCATCCACCTCTCTCCTTTCTAACCACCATCTTGCCCTTTAATTCAATCACACCACTTGGAAATAATGAAAGTTGGGTGACGATTCTCCCTGATCCAATTTTCCCCAAGCTTTTAAGCCTTTTAACCGACCGTATACCTTGGACAGAATTTCAGAAAGTATTCCCCTTCTCTCTTCTTGCCTTCTGATCCCACTGTTTTGCACTCTTTCTTGGCTTGAAGTGCTGATGCCTGAATGCTATACCTTGTAAGGCTGTTACATCATGCGTAATTTTACAACAAAGGTAGATCTCAGGAGCGTATGAGATCGGTATTGTTGTTAAATTACACACGATGTAACATTCTTACACAAGGGTGGATTGTTGTTTTTAGTTTTATATAATTATATAATTATTATTATTATTACTTTTCTTACTATTATTGGTATTTTGGTGTTATTTTGCCCTACCACCGTTGTTGTTGTCTGACTGTTGTTGTCTCACCAAACGAAACGAAAGTAGCCTAAATGAAAACAAAATGGTAGGCCAGGCCGGCAATGTTACATTTTAAAAATGCACATAATTGGATATAGTCTATTCCTATAGGAAATACTGGATGGATATAGGCTATTCCTATATAACAATTATGATAGGCCTATATTATTTAAATTACATAAGGTAAAGCCACAGAATAGGTTTTATCTTCTAAATTACACTACATGTGGGCCGCGTATGTCAATAAACTTCGGGGGGTATTTTTTATGATTCAAATGAGTTTGTAATTCGTTTTATTGCATTCATTATTCCCTTAATTTGGCCAAAAACATCTTTCTAATTAAAGTAACTAAGTTGTGAGCAAGCCATCGGACCTTTTAGGCACACAATATTAGGCTAATTTGGTTTTGGTAATAAGTTGAACCTTTTTGTAAGGTGGCCTATTGTGCTTTCATTTGATCATGTTCGTGCCCATAGCCGGCATGTCGTCGTTTCTGTTTTGTCTACAGACTATTTCTCCAAACGCATTCCTGCCTTTCTAAATAAATATGCTGTGTAGCAACATTTCATTCGTTGCGTAATGTTTATTTTTATTCCACTGCTACATTACCCAACGGAAGTGTATCAAAATTAAAGTGTACATATGTCTAGGCACAATTATATTTTTCTGCATCAATTGAAAACGAATGTTCGCCATAATACTCTGAAAAATATATTGACAAGTTATTTCCAAGTCTCCAGCCATAAAACCAGGGATGTGCACACTGCACACATCTGTAGGGATAGGTAACTCAAAAGAGCCCCTATAAGATTAATGTCAATTTGAGGGTTATCATTCAAAGTATTTATTGACATTTTTTCACCATGAAAATGAAACGAAGGCTTCGGCCAAAATAGATCTTTCATTCTTTGAAATAAACTGAGAAAGGTGTCAGAAAGGCTTAGCAACAAAAAGTCAAATAATTACCGTTTGACCCTTTGTTGGTGTCTCTAGAAAATAAAGTAGATAATGCATTTTTTTCTGAAGTTCAAAATAGGAGATGCAAGGTGCATTGAACAAAAAAACGGGTATAACATTGAAGATGTTATGCTAATAAAGTCCTATGCGATCGATTGTTTTTTCCCCACAATTGCTGACGCGTTTCAACGTCTTTCCCGCTTTTCTTTACGCGTTGCAAATTCAGTGATGAACGACAATAAAAAGTTAATTCTTTCTTGACACAACCCAGTCCCTTTTATGTAAATGCTTTCTCTTTCTTTCTATTTTTCTTTCTACACGCGAGTTGTGACTAAAAGTTGTAAGCCTACCAAATGGTTAATTTGATTATTGAAACCAAATACCAACTGGTTCACCGTCCTCCCTCCACGCGTCTGGCACCGCAAAAGAAGCCATCTCTATGAATTAATCTAATAACGGACAAAGAACCGAGAAGTCCTTTCTGATATTTTGCCGAGGCAAATATAATTATAGCTTTTGCCATCCGTTTCTCTCATTCAAATGGATCTTTATGCGACCGTCTATAGTCCACCATAGTCCACCAGTCCATTGAAACGCCCTCCTTTATATTTTCAACATCTCCCTTTATTCTATCAACTGGTTTCCAAATCTGTTGGGCGGAATAAAATGTCAGAGTTAAAACCTTTGATATTTTGATTTGAGAATGTTAAGGCCGTCCTCACTCACATTTGTAAGACACTCGCACAGGCACACCACCCATACACACAAGTTTTCAAAATAAACTAAATAAAATAAGATTTGATTCAGACTGTGAGTTGAGCCTTGAAATACAATTACGCATTACACGTTCGGCATTATGACATTAACAAGTCAATACATGACCTCCCACTTGAAATTAAGCATTATCTCAAAAATAAATATCACAAGTGCATGGAATCCGTGATTTACAGTAACATAATGGCTATTTCATAAAAGTGAACCTGCAGTTAATTTGTGATCCAACGACACATAAATGTCAGCCACCATACTATCACTTAAATAAATCAGAACAAATGCGATGCGTGCGAGACCCTATATTTTCATTGGCAAGTGCCACACAATAGCCGGAGACATTTAAAAGGCGGACAAGGAACTCCTCTGCTTTTAGTGCGCTCTGTCGTTGCTCAGCGATACAGGAATGCGGGTCGACAGGGGGACAAGAAAGAGGAACAAAATGACATTGTCTGTGGATGGATTGGATGTATCACACTCACAAAAAGGGAAAATACAGAGGAGGATAAAGATACTGAGATGGGAGGAACCTCTGTCACATTGAACATAATGTCTCACTCGGGCTGACGAAAACTTACCGCTATCAAAACGGTTATTAAAAAGGGCGTAAGTGTTTGGGGTGGGGTCGAATCACAAGCCAAAGGCAATGTTGATGATGAAGCTCAACATAAAATATTCATTCGGCTTGTTCTCCTGACAATTTCGTCTGATAACTCAATTTGATATTGAGATTATTAAGGCCTATACTCAAGTGCTAAGGGAAAAGAAAACGCACAGCACCTAACATCAAATAAACGAATAGGCTATGGGCTCAGAATTGTTTACTATTTTACCACTGTGCAATGAAGTGCCCTTTGAGACTTCTGTTATTTTTCAAGTGCAAAATGTAGCAATCACTAATCTCGTATAATAAAGGAATTATGGGCATATTTAATATGTCACTGTTTTTCGACAGCAATTCTATAGCGATTTGGAAAATAATTTGGCACATAATATTTCCTTATTAGAGGTAGACACATTTCTTCCCTTTATTTCCTACATCCATATCCGCAGCATTTGGACCGGCATACTTTTCAATGTCAAAATAAAGCTTTTATACAAGTCAAGTGACTATGAAGATGTTGAAGTAAGAATGTGATTTTATGATTTTCATGCGAAAAAGCATAGGCTATGTGGCGCGTCACCGGGCGCATCACGTTTCCACCCGCACAGATGGAAGGTGACATCTGGGGAAGTGGTAAATTCAATTAGAAGAGTGTGTCTGGTCGAAAAGTTTCACACACACACAAAAAAGTGTGGTGTGCTGTCCTGAATACAAGAACTCGATGGGCACTTTGTTGTCGAAAACGCCGGTCTTTGATTACTATTTCAATTAGTTGTGGGAGGCCTACTTCGTATAAGCCTGCTTCTGCCTCAACATCATGATGCATGCATTGTGATGATGACAATATGGTCAAAATGAGGATATGTTGATGACGATAATGGTGGGTGGTGATGATGATAATAGTGATTATGATTAGGTTGAGCATTAGAAATCAGCCATCTTCGTTCCTGTGTTGATGAAAGCAAGTTGATATGATGCAATTGCAAGATATAACATCTAAAATTCGGTATGAGGTTATCCATGTCTTCCAAACTTCGCCGGCCACCTTCGTGGGTCGAAGGCTTGTGGTCTGTCTGCCCTCTCCGGGTTACTCCTCTGCATTTGAAGCCTTTTGAGGGCCTCCCAAGTGACAGAGTCCAGCGACTGGATTTGCATAAAAATCTTATTCCACAGGATAAGATTAGCAAATAGCCTACTTTGCCCTCAAAAGCGGACCTGGCAGGAGCGAGAGCTATAGGCTAGGAATCAATTACTAAATTACTCTAACCTCTAAGTCGACATTAACGGAGAGGCATTCCATCGACCGGCCTGAAATAAGATTTTGAAAAGATGTGATCATTAAATCTCTTGCCAGTGTTCAAGAACTTGGTTAATAAAATCATCCAAAATGAGATGGAATTAAATTCTTATCAGAGTCCCTTGTCATCATTTCATCTCGTGCTGTTTAACATTGGTCAATGGCTTTCATGCGATTTCCCTCTCTTTAAATAAACTTAGTAAGTGAATCCTCCCCTCCTCGAGACATTGTTTGCTTGTTAATTTATCGGAGTTTGGCGGATATGACTGCATGCCTACTCCATGAGATAAAACCAGGGAACAATAAAATATAGTCCACAGTTTTATGACAAGATACATTTTTGTATTTAGGCCTTTTGTTTGTTTTATTTATTTTATACAAACAAATATAATGTATTTTATACTAGGCCGATAGCCTACAATTGTTTTGTTTGCCTAATTTCACGCATTTTACACATAAGCGTAGGCCTAGGCTGTGTTAGGCCTAAGTTTTTTTAGGCCTAGGCTGTGTGTAGGCCTAAGCCCCAAATGTCCTTTTGGGGACTACTTCAACTCAAGCTGTCAAAGCCTTACTAGCTGTCTGTTTATTTCTCCCCTAAGTAGCCGGGCGGGGTCGTCATGTGTCAGGCCAGTGGCGGGCGAAAGAGAGGGCATATTTTATTTAGCATATACTGGCATTATTCCCCCCACATTAGCAATTGACAA